TGTTTGAAGCCTCCCCAGTTTGAATGTTTGAAGGATTCTCGGGGTTGTGTTGGGATCACGATAGGGTTTGTTGTTAGTGGGAGGGACAGAGATAAGGAGAAGGAAAGAGAAAGAGGAACTGAGAGACAGAGAGAAAAAAATAAGCGAAAGAGGGTGTTAGAGACAGAGACAGAGGCATAGGCAGAGACAGAGACAGATGCAGAGATAGAGGCAGAGACAGAGACAGAGGCAGAGGCAGAGACAGAGACAGAGACAGATGCAGAGACAGACAGAGACAGAGGCAGAGACAGGGACAGAGACAGAGGCAGAGACAAAGACAGAGGCAGAGACAGAGACAGAGGCAGAGACAGAGACAGAGGCAGAGACAAAGACAGAGGCAGAGACAGAGACAGAGGCAGAGACAGAGACAGAGGCAGAGACAGACAGAGACAGAGGCAGAGACAGGGACAGAGACAGAGGCAGAGACAAAGACAGAGGCAGAGACAAAGACAGAGGCAGAGACAAAGACAGAGGCAGAGACAGAGACAGATGCAGAGACAGACAGAGACAGAGGCAGAGACAGGGACAGAGACAGAGGCAGAGACAAAGACAGAGGCAGAGACAGAGACAGAGGCAGAGACAGAGACAGAGGCAGAGACAAAGACAGAGGCAGAGACAGAGACAGAGGCAGAGACAGAGACAGAGGCAGAGACAGAGACAGATAGAGGCAGAGACAGAGACAGACAGAGGCAGAGACAGAGAATTAAATAGTGGGAGGGACAGAGACAAGGAGAAGGAAAGAGAGAGAGGAACTGAGAGACAGAGAGAGAAAAAAAATAAGCGAAAGAGGGTGTCAGGACGAGTCAAGCGAGAGGCCGCGGCGCAAATCCAATTCGAACCTCCGGAAGATGAGCTTCCCCTACGCCCTTGTACATCCCCTCACGCCCTGGTTTTCGCTCTCTCTTCAAGGGTTCACGGTTAACACGGGGGTACTCCCTCACCTCTACCCCCCCCCACCATCGCCATACCCCTCCCCCCATCTCATTCCCACTGAAGAGTGTTGAGGACTCTTAGCGATGCGCCAGATGAGGGAGAATGCTTTTTATTGGTGTCAAATGCACCAACTCGACCATTTCAGGGGAACAAAGTCGCATCGCGTCTGAGCGGAGTTTATCGTTTATAGGGGATTTTCTCTCTCTCTCTCTCTATCTATCTATCTGCCTATCTATCCGTATCTCTCCTCTGTCTGCTTGTCTGTCTGTTATCTAGCTATCTATCAACAACTCTTCTCTCTCTCTATCTATCTATCCCTACATCTATCTATCTGTATATGTATTTGTCTCTATATATTTTATATATACATATATGTATATATTCTCTCTCTCTCTCTCTCTTCTCTCTCTCTCTCTCTCTCTCTCTCTCTCTCTCTCTCTCTCTCTCTCTCTCTCTCTCTCTCTCTCTCTCTCTCTCTCTCTCTCTCTCTCTCTCTCTCTCTCCCTCTCCCTCTCCCTCTCCCTCTAGCCCTCTCCTCCCTCTTTCTTTATGTATGCACGTATTGCATACATAAGCCGCATCTGCCCCTGAGCCAATACTTCCCCCGCGAGACGTCTCTCGAAAAAGTTTTTTCCTCCAAGAACCTCGTTCCTCATCCCCCCCACACCTACCCCCCCCTCGCCCACGCGCCCCCACGCGGCCGAGCGCTGTCTATTGCATCAGAGTCTGTCGCTTCGGCCGCTGTCTTGCTGTTGCATAATTCTCCGGCCAAAGGCAAGGGCAGACTCAAGGGCGGCGCTTGCTTGGCTTCTCCGGCTTTTCGTGTTTAGTTGTTTGTTTGTCCGATGGCTGTCCGGGTTATGCTGTTGTTGTTGTTATATTTCCTGTTGTTGTAATTGTTTATGACTTTTCTTTTTTTCTGGTTGGTGTTAAAATACCGATTATTTTTAACGTTATTGTTTTAAAACTGTTTCTCTCTTCAATTACACTTTATTTCCTTTACAGGATATGACTGGATGAAGAGAGTGTATCAAACGACCTTACAAATGAAAATAACAATCATAATAATAAACTCCCAAGTAAAAAAAGCAAACGGACGTCCGCAAACGCCCCCTCCCCCCCTCCTCCTCCTCCTCCTCCTCCGACCAGCCCCGGTATGGAAATGAAATTACAAAAAGGGAAAATTCAAGAAATGTTCCCCAACTTTTCTGGCGCGGTTTCCGAAGCTGTTTCTAGAAGCGGGAGGCACCGGGGGGCTTTTGTATATATCTCTGTCTGTCGCTCACTTAGCCTGATAGTCAGCTAGTCAGTCGGCACGCAGTCAGGCCACCAGTCAGAATGTTGGTCATACAATCAAAGAATCATACAAGCAGTTACTTCAGTAGCATTTCATGCACATAGACACACACACACTCGTATGTGTGTGTGTGTGTGTGTGTGTGTGTATATATATATATATATATATATATATATATATATATATATATATATATATATATATATATATATATATATACATATATATATATATATATATATATATATATATATATATATATATATATACATATATATATATATGTGTGTGTGTGTGTGTGTGTGTGTGTGTGTGTGTGTGTGTGTGTGTGTGTGTGTGTGTGTGTGTGTATATATATACATATATATATATATATATATATATATATATATATATATATATATATATATGTGTGTGTGTGTGTGTGTGTGTGTGTGTGTGTGTGTGTGTGTGTGTGTGTGTGTGTATCTGTGTATGTGTGTGTGTATATAAAGATAGATACACAGATATATAGATATGTATAGG